CAGAGCTGGTGAAATTTATTAAGTTGTGTATCTTTGTACGTTTAAATAACGTTTACCACAACGTTTAACTTCCAACACAAGAACCGAATAATTCGAGATATTCTAAACTATATGCAGAACTCATCTGTTTGTGTTGTAACCAACTGTTTAAACGGTTTTTGCAGCATGTGAGTCTTAAATGGCTTATTTAAATACTAATTCATACATTATTAATATGTATAAAAATACATATGACTGTAAACATGTGGAAGCCTTCGTATAGACAAGGCCCGGCATGACCAGATGGTTAGGGTGCTCGACTCGCAATCTGTGGGTCGCGGGTTCGAATCCCCGTCACACCAAACATGCTCGCCCTTTCAGCCGTGGGGACGTTATAAGTGACGGTTGGTAAAAGAGTAGCCCAAGAGTTGGCAGTGGGTGGTGATGACTAGCTGCCTTCCCTCTAGTCTTACACTGCTAAATTAGGGACGGCTAGCGCAGATAGCCCTCGTGTAGCTTTGCGTGAAATCCATAACAAACAATCGTATAGACAAAAGGAAAACTGTAAAAAGTTGGTAATTAGACTCTTCTGTGCACTCATAAATGGTAAACAGGAAAAGGCAAAATAAATGATAATGTTAAAACTTCTCGGCCAAAGAGTAGTAGAAATAACTTAGATGTAGTACGGCATTACTGATTGGATATAATTTGTTATATCACCATTTTTAAATGACAAATTCCAAGCGAGGTAAAATTTTACTCTCATGGGTAACAAACATGTACGGTTCTTCCTAAAATGTTAATCTCTACCCTAATTTTTTTGCTTTGTATAGTTAAGTAACAAAATACACTCGAGGTTAGGTATGCGTATGTGTTTATCAAGGGTAAACAATATATTGAACTTTAATCTCTGGACAACAGGAAATGTGAGAAGGAATCAATCTCAAATTAAACTTTTTAAATTTTATCTAGAAAAGCCAACATTCGCACGCGAATCCAATATGTCTCTTCTCATCTACTTTATTCGATAAAATGCTCAAAATGTAGTATATTTCACGAAAGAATAGCATAAAAACCAAGGGAGGGAGTATATACTATAACATATATACTTCAGGAGGGTTACACAACACAACATTAACTGTGAAAACGATGTATTGTGACCTTATAATAAAAAGTACAGTCAGTTTCTTCGTAAGTGGATTTAATCACTATGATAAAGCATTACAGGTAATTTATGGATAAATAAGGCTAATTCTTCGACACGTAATATGCAATTTCATGTATTATGTTAATTTAAAACACCATTAATAAGAACCCATTGTATAATTTTTCATATACATATACAATGTATCTAAGTTCATAACACCCAGTTACACACATTACAAATTTTATGAAACATTTTGACCTTTGACCACAACAAAATCGCAAGAAAATGACAAATCCCAAATCAGTTTTGTTTGTTTTTTCGCCCTGTATTCGTTGTCCCAAGGTATATTTGAGCCAAGTCTCATTTCGATTGATGGAAATATATGGGATCTGCAGACCAAAATATGCTATTTCAATATTTGACCTTTGACTCTCTAATATCGGAACGAGGACCTAAATAATAGAAATATTAAAAAGTTACATAGGGTTAGGAACTGAGGTATGTACATGTCTTCCAAGTTTCAAAACTATTGGCCCAGACATAAAGTAGTAGCGTACAATTGTAATTGTTGGAATGAAGATGGAAACGTGGGGAATAACATAAGTTTCCCTACGTAAATGTGAGAAATACATGTGTTAAAATAGTTGTACAAACAAAAGTTACATGACAAATTATATTTTGTAACGGGTCTAATCGATTATTAGTTAATAACCACGTGTGAGTTAAATATTGATACATATTTTATTTTTTTATGTTACCTGTATGACATAATTACACTTAGCGAAATATGTCGTTTTTAAAATGTTGAATAGGTCTCGGTAAGTTGAAATCAATTAAATAATCGTCCGGGTAAGTGAAGTTATAAACCGTCTCTTACAGCGGATACATACTTCCTCTGACGTATAGATAGATGTACCGCTACACACGACAGGTTCAGGAATACAACAACACACCACTGCATACACTCCGTCTGATACTGGCGGTGTACAGAGGTATTACACTGACGTCAAAATAAGTCACATGGCCTCTAACTTACTCTGCCATATTGGACGTCAGGTGCCTACTTTTATCTTAGATGAAAAATGCTAAATTTGTCTGACACTGTAAATAATCTCAGCGATACGCATAAGGAAAAATAAATCGAGAAACTTGATTGCCGTACAGTTTAAGATCCTTATATTTAATTAACCAAAGCCGATGATTACGCCATTGGTAATATGTAAAGCTTTCGCGAATCTTGTATTGACATAGATTGCTATGAGGAGATGTTTGAAGTCCAACATGGCAACATTGAATGAAACACAAAGTTTTGCGACTTCACGCGCATGCCCACTGTGTAATATGGAGTAGTTAGGATATTATGGTATCACACTATCAAGAATGTTATTTCAATATCGTAAATGGATGACATTTTTTTATTGGGAGATGTCTGTAAAAAATATAACTTTGTATATATATATATGGGTGGATTATCACGTACCGGAAACAAAGGTCTCAAGAAGAAAGTATTTAATGACAGAAGAATATTCGATGTTTGTCCATGGTGGTTATTCATGCCAACTTCAATGGAATAATTACAACTTCGGATACTCTTAAAGACTATATTACTAGAAACAAAAAGAATACGGTAATTTAGACATTGCTAGGAGAAAGTTACATCTAGGAAATCATTTACATTACCAATAAAACGATACTAAACCTCACTCGTTTTCGTAAGACACTATTGTGGCAGCTTTAGTAACTTGGAAAATTAATTGTTCAGAAAGTTTTCAAATGGGAAACACTTGAGGACTTGGGCTCAAAATTTAAACACCAAAAAAGGTCGATATCCGTAGACTCAATAAACTTTGGATTACAAATCTCTTCAATGTCCTTATAAAACGACATATGTAAATGTTACGTTAAAGACCTCGAGATCACAACGGTGCTTAATTAATTCATACAGCTGTTTCATATGGTATTCAGATGAAATAAGGAAAGATTGAACTATGTTTCGGAAATTACTGGGGGTAAAAACTAAGATACTGATTGGGTCTCGAGCACTGGTTTCCTTCTTTGTTGGTTTTGAATGAAGAAATTATATGTATCCAAAGCACCGCTGCATCAGATATAAATGTGTCCAGCTACGACAAATATCCAACCCTCGAATAGTGTGTGGAATTAGATAACGAATACTTTTTTGAGATAAAAAGATTGCATGTAATCCCCGCAAAGAAAAACATGAAAAAAAGTTACAACCGCCGATAAAAAAATACCCACTTTCTGTCCCAATACGGTCTTCTCTGCAGTTAAAGATTAAATACCATGGTATACATATCATGATTATCACATTAGCAAAAATACCACATATCATGATTATCACATTAGCAAAAATACCACATATCATGATTATCACATTAGCAAAAATACCACATATCATGATTATCACATTAGCAAAAATACCACATATCATGATTATCACATTAGCAAAAATACCACATATCATGATTATCACATTAGCAAAAATACCACATATCATGATTATCACATTAGCAAAAATACCACATATCATGATTATCACATTAGCAAAAATACCACATATCATGATTATCACATCAGACATACTCGTACATTGTGTGTTTAGAGCATTTCGTGTACCCTAAATTGTGTTATTCTTACCAAAAGTTAGATACGTTATGAATACGACTATTTCAACAGTTTTGCCAACGTGTAGATTTGAACATACACAGTGTTAACACATCCAGTATAAAAAAGACGAAATATTGTTAGTCTTACATATTATGCCTAACTTACAGGAATGATGTCCAACGCTTGGGACATATCATCTCTATGTTACTTTTACAAGAAGACATAAAAATTGTGGTAGTACCATATTGTTAACATGGTTGTTTATCAACTACCTATTTTGCATCAAAAACAAAAGTTGACATTGTATAATATGTGACCGTACACGAAGTTTGTCACACAAGTGTCACGCTTGAAATCCTTTCAAATGTGGTTGTCAAAAATAATCCTCATTTTGATGTTCCAACAGAAGTATCTAAATATATGTTAAAACATGTTTTGGTTGACAGTGTACCAATCTCGCCCACGATTCATGTAATTGATCTATTAATAGTATTATACACATCAACATGCTGTTTCCCGACCATGTTTTCTGAAACTATTTGTGTATAGCTAATATTTATAGGCTACTGGTAAATTCAATTTAAACAGAACATTCACAAACACAAAGACGTTTCAAAATTTTGATTAGCATGTCAACTGCTACAAAGCTATGTATCTTCAAGAATTAAAGGGAAGACTTAAGGCACTAGTTAACACCATATTTTCACCTTTTAAAGCAAAATCAAAACCGAAAAGTAAGTCCTGTATAAGGTACGATAATCAGTAAAGTAAGTATACGAGAGTAGTTTTTGCAGTTGGAAAATACTATAAAAAATAACTAAGATATGTAGTCAACTTTTCTTTTCGGAGATGGAAGCAGTGGTATATCTTCTGAATTTTTTTTTTTTGTTATTTATCTGATATTAGAAGCTTAAATTGTATTTGAGACTAATATTTTTATATTTATGTTATTATATATATATATATATATGTATATATACACACAAATTTTGATCATTATAGGCAATATCGGCGTTACTACTTGATAGTGACCCCATAGAACACATACCGCAAAAGAAAAGCTCTTTTAAATTTAAATCCTAGACTAATGGAATTGTCATTTATCATGTAAGTTCCAGTGTTCTAGTAACCCAAAAATTGTTCATAAATTTCAAAAATTCAGTTTGAGATAGACTAAACTTATGATGGTTTGATTCGTTTTAAAGCAAAAAATTAAATACATTAAAAAAGGTCAAATTTGACTTACTGTGAATATTGTCTGAAGACAAATCTACTTAGATGAATGTTTGATACAATTCCTTTTACATAAACATGATAAAACTCTCTGGCGTATTCAGCTGTAATCTCCCCATTACGTTACTACGGCCTTGCGAACTCATTTCTCTGGCCATACGTTAGACGGTTAGACAACTTTCTGCGAACGCTGTTTCCGAGAAACGAGTTTCTGTAGTACAGGAAACCGTCCGAAAGAGGCACTTCCGTTCTCGCGAGGATCGCCTCTAACAGCCACAAGTCAAGCGACTATCTTAACTGCGGCCGTGGAATCCAGATTAGGCCAGGCTACGTGCTCTGCGAGTCCACGTGGTAATATCCGGACTGGCATCAAAGTTTGTTTGGCGGTACGGAAGTCGCTGACACATCCTGTTTGTCTAACAAAAGGCGGAACTAGTACGACTATAAACGCCATAAAAAAAAAAGGGAGCTAATAGGGAAGATCGAGCACCTTAGTCTCAGAACCACTCCTTGAATGGTTAAAATAGTTGAGCCACGCCCTAAAACAACCTGTACAGCAAACGCGTTTTTATGAAGATAAATTTTAGTGGCTGTCTATTTTTTTTTGTAACATATTTCCTTAACAGCCACATGACTTAGTTTTTTATACAGGATGACGGTAGCAAAATAGGTTGAGAAAACAAGTTATGTGTGACGTTTTTTTCAAATAGTCATAAATTAAACATCGGGACATATTACAAGTTAACTCTTTGGATTGTTTTCAAATCACTTAGTCTCGTTTTTGTTAAGAACAGTCTGGTTTAGAATAATAGATAATCAAAATGTATTTGAAGAAAATAAAAATTCTGAATATATTAATTTCACGTGGTTAATAACTTTGGTGTTACTTTGAATTATCTAAAGAAACCAGTTTGTTCTTGTTGCTATAGTTTTGAGGGAAATGCCAATCGTTTGATTAGAAAAGTTTAGTGATAGAAACTGTCTCATTTCAGTTTGTTTGTTATTAAGCGCATCCAGAGCCGTCGCCACGCACTGGCACACGGGGCACTTGCTCAGATTTTATTTGACAGTGTCCTGAACACCCAGTTTTTTCTCGTTTCGTTACCTGCAGATTATTATTTGTTCCGCAAAAAACAATGGCTGGGGATACAACGTATTTTATTTGTAAATTATGGTTAACAACTATTGTATGTTAATTATTTAATTTTTTTCTATTTTTTAATTAATTTAATTCGATTAAGTTATAAATGTTGTCAACAGATGGCGCAACACAATTCAACAATTACAATAACATGTTCATTTCTTCAAGTATCTTTAACGTGGATTTACCCACCATTTCATGTTGTTGTTGTATTTTCTATGGCATTTTGTTAATGAGACACAAGAAATAAGCATTTCTCTTTTCAAAGACACATGATATCAAATATGTAGCCAACCTTTCTTTTCGGAGGTTGAAGTAGTGGGATATCTTCTGGAGACTCACTATTTTTGTGATGTGAAAAAAAAAATGCTTATATAGTTATAACGCAGCTGCTTATGATATTTAACGTTTTCTGCATAGCCTATATTCTTCTGATGAAGTATTAGCATTACGTGGGTTGAAATAGTCGCTTGCAATGACTTTTGTTGACACTTTGTAATTGGAAGTTCGAAGCGGTATTACTAGTCAGGTTTTTATAGTGCTGGTTATCACAGTTGTATCTACAACTTTAAATAATTGTCTCTTTTTCGTCAAAGTGTCATTCAGTGTACCAAATATCTTTATATTACTCAAACTCTTTGCCACACTGTGAGTAAGTTTATGTTCGTGTGAACGTTCGGCATCTGATCTTCGCCGGTTGAGGTTTACACAGACCAAAGAAAGACTGAGTGCTTTACCTTTAATACATGACCATTATGACACTGCTCTCAACATTGAAACTGTAAGTAAGTTATTTATGGAAAAGCACCTCAGAAGAGTGGAGGGTGCTAACAAGTTATTTCAGTAGTGCATACATGTACGTATATGATAGCCAATAATTGAAATTGCTAATATACTATCGTTGTACAGAGTTACTTAAATAAGTAATATAAGTTAATAATTAAAAACGACTCTGCATGTAGATAGTACAGTACTTTACTATATTAAACATATATACTCATACTAATTTAAGTCTAGCTCCCCATGCAGTGGTACAACAGAATGATTTGTTGGCTTTTGATTGGATGTTTGTGGATTTTATATGAACAGCCATGCAATTGTTTAAGCTTTATTTCATGCAAAATTGCTTCCATATTTAATCTTATAGCACCTATTTTTTTTTATAAATTTTCTGGGGGACACTCCCCCAGACCCCTGTAACATTAGAATGCTGATTGTGTTTTATATAAAATGTGTTGGCTTTTGATCTCACAAATTAGACACCCCCCCCCTCAAACATTCTGCGTACGGGCCCGAGACTGTTAATTTTGGAAGAAATTTTTCAGTACCAATATCTGCTATGAAAATCTACGGTCTCTAATATTAAATAGAATGAGGTTAAAAACTTCTTTTAAGCTAATTTTGTACGTTATTGTAAGATATGTATCATAGAATGGGCGAGCTTCTCGCGGAACATCGGGGGCGACACAAATAAATGAACGGTTACCTACAGTGACTTGCTTTTGATTAAAATGCTACGAGTTACGCAACTTAATTTTAGTCCAATTAGATAAGATAGTGAACCTAATTTAGAAATGAATTAAACATTTCCTAACATCTGTTTCTGCTATCATAAACGCAATCTGATATCAGATCTACCGCGCGCTCTTTTTTGCTATGATTTTCAACCTGTAATAATCGTGTTACGTAATATTAAGCCCAAACCTACACAATATTTTTAAGTATATAAGTAAACGTGTGTTACATCTCCTACGTTCACTTGTCATTATTTATTTTGTATATTTTAGTCTGCTTTATACTGCTTATTAAACACCATTAAGACATTATTGGCATCTTAGATAGCTAAATAGAATAAAAAAAGTTTGTTTAAACCAATTAATTTTAGTGTGTATTACAGGAGTGGAAAGAATAAAAAGATTTGGCTAAACCAGTAGACTTTGGCGTATTACAGTTTGGTGTGCCGCAGAATTATCACTACTGTATTTGTTGTGGTAATTCATGTATAAACAAAGCACTGATATCCGCAACCATAAGAGATTCAAGGACCTCGAAAGCGAAACGAGTAGTAGCAAACGTAAACAAGATAGGTTAATTAAGTTTTAAACAAAAAGAAAATACTTTATTATTGGAGATGAACTGAAGGATGGCTAATTGTCAGGTTGAAAAAGGCTATTCTACTGTAAAGCAAACTCTAATAAAAGTAAAAAATTACACGAATAACTAGATTGATTAGAGCAAATACACAAGAACTTCCTCAGTTATATATGTCTTTTATTTGATAGTGAAAAATGGAAAAACAAGTTAATTGGATAGATGGAATCTTTCAAAAAACATGGGGTCCGTGGGGAAAAATAATAATAAAGGGGGGGGGGGTCCTTGGTGGTGAAAAGGTTGAGAACCGCTGTAATAGAGCTTAACATAAATATGTGGGGTGGTAAAATTGTACATAATTCTTGTAAGTCTATGTAACCTGCATAATAGTTGATTAAAACTGTCTGAGTTTCATATAAGAAACAGGAGAGAACACAGTTCACAGACCGTCTGTCTTGTGAAAGTCGGTTTTCTCGGAGTACTCCCGTTTCCCTCACTACAAATTTTACGCCACTGTTGGATTTAATGATCCCAGCCTTGGCACTGGATTTACACAACCCAACCACTAAGTGTCCTTGATCAGGGGAAGTTTGTTCGTGTGTGCTTTGTCAAATGTTTGTCGCCTTGTTTCTTCTCAACGACGACATTGGCCTTGATTTTCTCTCTGACCTGGAACCCTCCGGACATCTGTCATCTCTTCACTTTACATTCTCCAATCTGAAGATTCATATTCGCCATAGGACAACATCTGACCAATTTTTCTAAATAGAATTAAATCATTCACGAATCTAACAATGCATTATCGCGAGCGGGGCAAAGGGGGATACTAATATCCCTGAACACCGCAGTTGATAAGACACCAAATATACGACCCTATAATGAATAGGGTTGGTTTGTCATGAAATATTTTAGATTTTCATGTTTGCAGTCGTCCATCAAAAAGTAAAACAAACCGTGCCGATGTCATGGAAACAGTTAAAGACAAGTTCCATAGTAGGTTTATTAAAACTAAAAGGATAAAATTGCACACTAGAAGTATAATTCACTGAAATGCTTTCAAATAAGTCAAAGGTAATATTGAAGCGTATTTTGAAAATAAACAAAAGATTTTTATAGTAGTCGATGTAGAAATAAAAACAATAAAATTTGAAATCTAAAATGCATTTCTAATTAGCGTTATTTTTAGTGCGATTATACAGTTACACTTGCTTTCTTCTGTTAAACTATAGTAATAAATTAAATGTATTTGAGTCGGTGTGTGTGTATAGGGGGGTGGGGTATTGTTAAGTTATCCCCACAATTAGTGTGCCGTAAGTCTAACTATAATGCAGCACAAATTTGCGGCACAAAATCAACACTAAATATATGCCAAGTTTCATATGGATCACAGTTGGATGGGGAGCTAAAGTGAAGTCAGCCCCACATAAAGATTTCCTCATCACTCTAGTTGTTTAGCAGCACAAAATAGCCCAAAATCACCACTAAATATGTGTCAAATTTGGTTACCTTTAGTTGTTGGGAAGGGGGAGGCAAGTCCATGGACCTATTATTCTCACCGACTCAAAAATATTATACAGCATATGTGACACAATAGACTAACCAAACAAAAGACTCAAGCGCCACCTATGAATAACAATATCAAAGGTTATTACAACATTTTGTTCATCCCATAAAGTCTCTTCAGGTAAATGTAGTCGTAGTTGGACGATTATCAAGAGTGAACGAGACCGCCATGCTTTGTTCAAGAGTGAACGAGACCACCATGCTTTGTTCAAGAGTGAACGAGACCGCCATGCTTTGTTCAAGAGTGAACGAGACCACCATGTTTTGTTCAAGAGTGAACGAGACCACCATGCTTTGTGCCAACTTGTGTTCTCGATAGATGGAATTTAATTCCTCAGCAAATCTTTCAGTAACTTTTAAATGCTTTACTGTAAATAATTTAAACAGTTCTAGTAGCTAAATGTGGAACCACATACTATTAACCCGCTTCCACTACGTATTTGTCTTTTTGGTTTCACCCCTATATACCATATAAAGTAATAATATATACTATTATTATATGCTTTAATGTCATATAAAATATATAAATTTCTGTTACACATACGATTTTCCAAGAATTTTTAGATGGTTTTATAACTCTTAAAAATAGTTTGTTTAGCTTCGTATATTCTCGCAAATCTACACAAGGGCTATCTGC